TGCGGTTAACCAGGACATGCGTCATCTGCAATAATACTCGACCGCAAAAAGACAGTGTCAGCGATTAGTATTAGTTAGTTAAGATTTTTTTAAATAATGTAAATACTCGTTTGGAATTTAATGTAAATATATATATATTTTTAAAATATTAAATAAATAGAAGAATAGAAGTTATGATTTCATTTCATTACAAACAAATGTGTCACAACAAATTAAATCGTATTTAAACAATCAAAGTAATAATCACAGTGCTACGGACTTTACAATGAATTTTATTGTAATCGACACATTACCTTTTAAAGAACAAGTTTCATAATATAAGATACTTGACCTTGGGTTGAAGAGATAAGTTTCCTATTTGGAACGTATATAAAGGATTTCAAATTTAAGAACCAACCATAAGTAGCAAGAACATGGAGAAGAGAGGAGACCTAGTAGTGGAGATAGCTGAAGCAGACTCTACTACGTATCCACTTCACTCCCCGACTAGACAATGGTCATCATCGTGGAGCGATAGTACGGTAACGATGTACGGCGAGGATATGGAAGATGACAATCAGCAGCAGCAGCCTGATTCCACTACATCTCCGGAAAGATCGGGATCCACAACGCCAGATAATTTGAATGTTAACTTGATGGAAGGTAAGAGAATTAAATGAGTAAAAAATATTTTTTTGTATGTGTTTTTATCATAGGTCGTGTACCGTCACCAGAAGGGTCAGAATCTGCAGTATCGGATGACTTGATGCTGGACGTTGCGCTTGGTAAGGAAATAAAAAGAATAAATTCGAAAATAATAAATACATTATTCTGTACAATCACAGGTCGCTTAGAAGAGTGGGTGAATATGGTCCGTGAGCAAAGAGATAGAGCAGAGGGTGATGACGAAAATGTAGAGGATATGAATTAATGAAATGTATTTTAGTGTAATTAGTTTTATTTCATAATTGTAAAATAAAATTTGGAAAAATAAATTGATAGTAGATAATATAAACTTTTATTTAAAATAATTCTCTATCGGTGATAAACCATAAAATCGGTGTGAAGCTCACTAACACCTTATTTATTACATTTGCTGCGGGTGGCGAAGCAATGTGAAATTCACCCCGGTATTTGACCGACAACTTCACTGCCGGCCTCCACCCGAAAGGTTTTTTTGTGACACTTCGCTGACAGTCACTTCGCTCTTTTCAACGCGCCGGCCTTCGGCCGGCGACGTGGAAAAATAGGAACGGCTCGGCAATTAGTGGAATTGTGGCGGCATCGCCGCCGGCCGTAGTGAAAAAGGACGGCACCGCCGCCGGCCTGCGGCGTTATGAAATGGGGCGGCACCGCCGCCGGCCTGCTGTTTTATGAAATGGGGGCGGCACCGTCGCCGGCCTGCGGCCGGCGGCGCCGTGAAACGGGACGGCACCGCGGCCGGCCTACAGCCGTGGCGGTGCCGCCCCCGGCGACGTAAAAAAGTAGGGGCGGCACCGCCGCCGGCCTGCGGCCAGCGGCCTTATCAAATGGGGGCGGCACCGTCGCCGGCCTGCGGCCGGCGGTGTGGTGAAACGGGACGGCACCGTGGCCGGCCTACCCCCTTTCTTTTCCCTTCCCCTCTCCTTTTTCTTCCTCTCCCTTTCCCCCTTTTCTTTTTTCTCTCCCCCTTCCCCTTATCGATCTGCCCAAATTTAAAACTTTGTTATTTTTGTTTTTGGGAGGCAACCTCCACAATCCCCAATGATAAAGAATACTTTCGCAAAATTTCTAACTATTTTCCAACATATAAATTCTATGAATCACACTGCATGATAATATGGTCGATATTAACTGCTGTTTCTTGTGATAATCAAAGTGTATGGAATGTTAAAGAGATTTTTTTCTAAAAAATTCGAGAATATTGCAGAACATACAGAATTTTGAAGAAAGTGATAGATTATTACAAATGTTTACTAGAACATTTTTAAAAAACAAGTACGTCAAGGAATGTATAAACATTCTGGTGTTTTTTCGTTTATAATTGATAATTATTTTTGCTCGAAAATTTTAAAGTATAAATTATGATTATTTCGATTTGTTGCAAATAATGGTTATAAATCCAAGACTACCATAGATGCTTAAGGATATATACATGTTTTCACAATTACTATTACTCATTAGACTTACTAATTGCAAATTCATATTTTTTTTAAACATTATTGATTCAAAATATTAGTAAAAATAGTGTTCTGTACGTTTTATGCAAAATTTAATAAAATATGTATTTTAATAGTTTTAGGTTAAAAAAAAAACGGACATAGTATTTTCTTTTTATGTTTTATTATTATTTTTTTATATTGTGTTTAATAATTTCCACTTTATTTTAAACTTATATTTTCATGTATTTTATAAAATTTAAGGTTTAGTTGTTTTTGTATAAAATTAAACAAGTATGAACTAGGAAATTAAATTTATTTTATAAAATATAAGTATAAAAAATTTATATTTTACGATTTACATATACAATGGGTATTTATATCTTACAGCTATTTATACATATTTTAACTTATCTATTTACAATCCCTATCTTAAAGCTATCACTCATTCATACGTTTTACCTTCATACGCCCAGTCAACCGTTTTAATGTCTTTTCACTTTCGCTCTTCTTTCGCACTTTATTCTCTATTTCTATTTCTAATTCTCTAATTTCTATTTCTAATGTACGCAACTGCTCCCGTTTTCCAGCAAGTCTGTCCCTCATGTCCCGCACTTCCCTGTCCGTTCCTTCCTCCCTCCGACTAAGCTTCTCCCAGTAGCGAAGGAAGGCAGAAACGACGTCCGCCTCGCCGTCTTGCGAACAAGGAATCTCCATCTCATCTTCCGAAATTTGATGGATCTCTTCGGGCGCTGGAACTTCATCGGGCATGGGGGGCAGGGGTACGGAGGGTACCGGGGGCAGGGGTATGGAGGGTACCTCTTGTTGGGGAATCCCTGCTGGCGGTTGCGGCGGCGGAACTGTTGTTGTGGAATTTAACATCTGCCACAACTGAGAAGTCTTCCCCTTACTCTTCGGTTTTTGCGGCGCACGAGGACGACTCTGACGTTTTACCACAACCGGTGGTGGCTTTGGTTGAAATATATCGTCCTCGGCGTCGCTTATCGGCGACAATGCCGTGGACGGAACACCCCCAATGTCCGCTAACGCCTGTGCGATCATGTCGTCGTCAGGGATGGGGATGTCCTCGACATTGTTTACTGTCGCGGTGGCTGAAGACGACATCGTCGTTGTGTACCCAGTCGCTGCCGTGGTGTAATACCCTGTTTGCTGCCATCTAACCTGCTGCTGCTGATGACGTCGCTCTTCAGGGGTTATTTTCGGCACCGGCTTCACTCCACCCCCGTTTTTGTATGAGCTTGTTGATTTCATTTTTCTCGGAACAGTGCTCGTTCTACCCATAGCTGTCACGTCACTTACTTCACTTACTTTACTTACTTCACTTATTATTACTATTCAGTTACAGTCGAACTGTATACTGACTGACTCCTCGTGATGCTGTTGTAGACCGAAGGGCTACTATGCAAATGAATGAAACAAAATCGAAAATTGCGTTTTATACCACTTTAATATTTATATTAAAGCCTTCAGCCAATCAGTATTCTGCTCCTCGCCAAGGCCGGGACCAATCAGAATCGAGTATCGAAACCCTCAGTTTACTTTATAGAAAGTTCTAAAAAGATGATGAAATCTGATGAAAGATTGCAAAGCATGATGTCATGATTGCAAATACGCAATAGTTAAGGGAGAATCACCCTTAATGACCGAAAATTTCTAAATAAAAGGGCTGGTTTTTCGTTTTTGAAATCAGTTCATCGCCGAAGTCCTTTAGTTCAATACTAAGTTTTCAACTAAGTTCTTTTTAACAAGTTACAAGTTAATCTTCATTCTCAAGTACGGGATATAGTGATATAAATCTACGAAAGTGACATTGTGTGATTGCTCTAAAACAGTTTATCGCCGAAGTTCAAAGGTTCCATTCTTAGTTTACAACCTTGTTCTTCTCAACAAGTTACCAGTTAGTCTTCATCCGCAATTACGGGGAATAAAGTGAAACAAATCTTCGAAAGTAACCTTGTGTGATTGCTCCGAGTCTTACTAGTCTTCGATATACAAAGTGCTCGTTAAATTGTCTAATTACCTTCAGTAATTAAAGAGTTGGATCGGAACTTAAACCGACAAAGTTTTTTAGTGCAGTTTTTCGGAAAACCCGAAAGGATTATACAGAGGATTACATAAAATGTGGTTAGTAAAAGCTCCGCGATTTTTTTGTAATAAGTCAAATAAGTTTAGTAACGTTCATTTTCATATACCTAGTACTCTTTTTTCTACGGTCTGGTAGTTGAATTTGTTGTTTCCTGGATTTTCGTTGCTCAGATTATTCCAGCGAATCACTATTACTTGTTTTGTTAGATTAATAGGTTTCTAACAGTGTTAATTTCATTGTCATTTTTCTCTTCTAGAAAAATATTATTTGTAGTTATTGTAATATAGTTTATACCTTTTTTAAACTTGTTTTTCTTGAAGAAAAACCTTCCCAAGTTTTAATAATAATAATAAAAAATATTTTTTTTNTTATTCGAACACAGTTCGCGCACGAAAAGGTGGGCATCATACCCCGACATATTATGCAATATAACTGGAATAAAATTTGATATTTTATAATTTAGATTACAAACGGAATGAGCGGCCCCTGGTCTCTTTTTTCCTGTCAAATGACAATGGTCTCTGACTTTAATATGAACATTTTCGAATGGTTTCTCGCATATACTGCAAATGACGGCATTATTGAAATTTTTCTCGTCGTCCTCAGACAAGGTATCCATTGGAACTATATTTTTTAAATATTTATTATAGATTTCCCTCAAATCTGTCTCTAAACGCTGTATGAATACCTTTGCCACATTATCCCCCCTATAAAATACTAATTTTGAGAGTGAATCGTCGAAGGAACACTTTATCAAATAGGCAAACGAAAATGGTTCATGGCTGAAAGTTTTGCACGTATAAGATTGTTCGGGATTAGGTTCGCATATATCTATAGGTTTCAAAATAGATTCGAAGTCGGCATATACTACAAAAGGCACCTTCAATTGCTTTTCAAAATTTTCAAATTTTAGTATGTTTTCGGAAACACTTTTCCCAAACTTATCTACACGTAATTCCAAAGTAGGTGCAGTAGTGTAAATTTGATTGCAGTATCGCCTTTGATGTTGTAATAGCATATTTTCAGAACCAAAGTAAGATATACAACCGTCACAGAAATACTTTTTATGCTCATTATTAGACACCTGACTAGAAACCAATCTCGACAAATCCTTAATCCAACAATAATGGCTTATCGCACATTCTTTACCACAATGATGATTTTGACCGCACTCCTTAGTAATAAATAACAAATTCACATGATACCTCAATTTTCTTTGTGAATAACGCAAAGGTCCGACAATTTCGTATTTTAATCTATTCTTTTCGAATGTACTTTCCAAACCGTATACGTTAACAGAGATATCATTCATTGTTTCGAATTTTGAAATATCCTTCAATTTAACTGGAAAGTTCATACCTACCAAATTTAAAACAGATGAAAAATGTGGATATGATGACATCTCATGCACTGGACCTCTCGGTGAATATAAAGCTGAGGTTATTGCCCATGCAAAACAACACTCATCTTGATTTTTTATGTTTACCACAGCTTTCTTGTTTTCCACAAACTTCGGTAACTTTATATATGAAGATCCACATAGAGGACTGTTTTTATTTACGTTAACCTCCACATATAATATTTCTTCGATAGCCCAACCTGCAATAATAACAAATTATGTTAACGTCTTTCATTACACCTCTTATTAGTATCACTTACCAGAATCTTTCTCCTCAAATTCTGACGTTTGAGATGTCATCGTGTCTACAAAGTCTTTGTAAATGTCACTAATATCCAACGACTCGTCGATAATCCTATTGCAACTATTAAATGCCTTTACATCGGATGTCTCGCGAGTTTGTAATATGTAATTAGCAAAAGTTTCCATATTCACTTTTATAGATTTATGAACCCTTATGATGTCTTCCAACAAACTTATTATTTTCGCCTTCACTTCATCAAAAAACATTACATAATCTGTATGTTTGGTGTCACTATGCACTCTATAACTAATTATCCTGCACTTGAATGCACTATTGATTACTTGTATGCCCTCACATTTAGGAGTACAGGACGTTGTTCTATGTTCCAATGTCCTACGATGAGCATATATTTGACTCCTGGGTATATCCCTATTACAACACTTTACTGTTTGAATTGGTTGACTCTCATGTAATAATTTGATCCGTTTCGCATCAGGTTCACCAACGTTTATGCGATTACAAGACTCCCTTTCATGACGACGCAAGTTATCACTGCGTGAAAAACTTTTACCACATACACTGCACAAACACATTTTTTTTATCAGTAAAGTCACTCCACCGATCAGAGTTTCAAACTGAAATGAAATCCGTTCTACTTACTCCATCCTTTTTATACATAGAATGGATAGCGCATGTGCAGTTGACTCGAAATGACATTAACATTCATGTACCCTTCAGTTAGAGGTAGTGACAGAGGACATTGAAGGTAATCCTATAGCACTCAATCAGCAGAGGTCAAATAAAAGTCACCAACTGATGTGACCTTCAATATCATTTACCAACTACAAATAATTTTTAACTTTGTATAGAGGACAAATAAAGGTTACCAACTTATGTGACCTTCAATGTCGTTCACGGTCACCTCATACGTCACCACATATGTCATTTCAAGGGCGAAAGTGGAGGGGGGAGACTCACAACCGGTTAAAATACCCTACTGCCACATTCACGACTAAAGGAATTGTATCATCACAGAACTCGCGGTGTTGGGTTTCAGAAAATCCAGAGCGAATAATTAATTGCCGAAGACAATATAGTCAGAAAGTTAACGTTTGGTGTGGGATACTTAACGAGAGAGTCATTGGTCCGTTCCTCTTTGAAGGGAATATGAATGGCGAACAATTTCTATTTTTCCTTCAGAACAAATTTTTTAATACTGTCGATAATCTTCCATTACAAGAAAGATTAAATCTACATTTTCAGTTAGATGGATGTCCAATACACAATGCGAGACAAGTCAGGGAGTGGCTTAACGAGAATTTCCCCAATCATTGGATAGGTCGAAACAGTCGATTAATTCATTGGCCACCCTGATCTCCGGACCTTACCCCACTTGATATTTTTCTGTGGGGCTTTATTAAGTCCAAAGTTTATAAGACACGGCCAATTAACCGGGAGGTATTGTGCTCTAGAATAAGGGAGCGTGTGAGGAGATTAACGCGCATCAATTACAAAATGTTGTAAAAAATATAAAAAAAACGTTATGAAAAATGTATAGAATTAAACGGAGGATTAGTGGAAGCTACAAAAATTTAAATTTAATGACGTTATTAGTGTACATCAATCTGACAGACTCCTTTTTCATTTTTAAAAATGTAATTTTTTAATAATTACTTTTTTTATCAATTGTTGTTTATATTAGAGTAATTGTTGTTTATTTTGTGTATACTAGTTTTTATGATTTTTATTAATAATTATTAAACCAGTGTTTGTTATTTAATTTTGTTTCCCAATGGGTTCTATTCGGTTTTTATAAAAGAATAGGTTCACCGACAACGGCAAACACTGGTGATGCCGATATTGTCATAACTTTTTTACGGGCAAACTTTTTTTTGCAAAAATTGGTACAAATGCATTTGAGGGGTTCCTAAATCCAGTGGTGTAGTCAGATTTTTTATAAAAAAAATTGCTAAAAAATTTTGCTATTTTTCACTTAAAAAAAAAATTCGTAGTAGGCCTTGAAAATCAAAATTTCGTCTTCAAATTTTGCATCAAGATAGAGTTTTTGGAGATCTATCTTAAAAAAAAAAACCGGTTCAAATCGGTCCATAAACAACTTTTGTACGCGAGTGTTTCCATTCCTAATGGGTCATCCTGTATTATAACCTTTTCTCAGAATGACATGAGGGACTTGTTCCTTAAGTTTGTCTAGTATATGCAACACCCTGTATATGAAGACCCATATTGTAACATAAGATGTCCCGTCTCGAATATTACCGATCCTAAATATTACTTAGCAGCTTAATTCTAATTGGATATAACTTTTACAATAAATATTCTTTATGATGCAGGATTCTGCTTCGTAGTTATACACCACTGTGTCCCCTACTTCTAATTTTATCCAATTACGACTCGCTATGACAAACTCCCTGAATATAGTTTAAACTTTAGTTGCATTAATGTTGCGGATAATGAGGATTACAGGATCATATCGTGCTTCTAAGCTATCCATTTTATAACGAGTTGCTGCAAAATGTGCATTTATTATAACTTTGCTAACGATTTATTTTACCGATATGCAATGCAACCGAGTATGTACCTATTCACAATTTGAACGTAAATATACCAGAATACATAATTGAGTAGTTGAGACAACTACTAGTTATTGTTTCCTTGTTTTCAAAACCCTAAATTAATTAGACGATTTTTTTAAGGACTCAAAACAGTTAAAAAAACATGGTTACAGTTCCCTTATGGTAGTCGTAGCGAAATTTGTGTTGTGGCAAAGTAATAATTCAGTAAGTGATATCCACTACTATTGAGTCATTGATTTGTTTATTACTTTTCTATTTTCCACTAATGTGTAATTTGGTGACATTAATGACAAAATAGAAAAAATATTTCTATTTAATATTTTAAGAGATAAAGTAAATTACACCAATTCATTCGCTGTCTAGAAACTAAATTTTTATACCAGTGCAGTGAACAGATATTTATTTTTTATGTAGTACATTTATGATAATATTTTACTGAAATTACTCAAAAAAAGCTTAGAGCCTACAAGTGTTTTATATTGAAAATGTGGGAAGCATGTCACGTAAACCTTATTTCCCAGACTCTCATTTTTACTCCTTATAAATAAATTGTAATTTTATACATTGCACACACGTCACTAACAACATTTATGGAACGTTATTAGATAAAGAATAAGTGACAATTATATTTCATAGATGGTAACCTTATTTTTAAGAAAGACTGTTTTTGAATATATAAATTTAATACAGTTTTTTTTTTTTTTGGGGGGGGGATATGTAAGAACGCATTAACCGTGCAATTAGAACAATGTTTCACTAATGTAATGGATGCATATTTCTCACATGTCGCATGTGAAACTGTCCTATAAGCAGTTGTTGCATTAGACACTGCAGTTTCAGTATAAATTAATTTTTGCACAGACGTTCTTTGGGGTGTCCCTAACCCAAATTTGAAAAAAATCACAAAAATCATAACATGGCTACTCAATAAGTATACTGATTGTCAAAGTATTTTTACAATTATCTCGCATTTTATACATCGGACATTCATGAGGTGTGAAAGTTGTAGAGAATTTAATTATCTACAAGATTGGTCCCTTGCAATTTTTTTCAAATTCTCGCCATTTTCTCGCCACGTTTCGAGTCAAAGTTTCAAAAACAAGGTTTTTCGCGAATATCTCACGTATTGGATGTCATGGAATAGGAAAAAAATATTATGTATAAGATTGACCTGCATTTTTCCAAAACTTCTTCCTTCTCGCGACGCGACATTGATGATTTCTCGCCTAATTTCAATTATTTCAAAAATATTTTTTAGGAAATATTTTTTCGAATATACCTATTTCAATTCAATTTCAATATTTTCAATATTATCAATATTATCATATTTTATTCTGTATTCATACCAATACAATCCCCTTGTGGCAGACACTTCTAACCATAATGTTACAAGAATAATAGTAGTAAATAATTTTGTTGATGTGCTTACAAATTGCACTCACTTTTAAGCATAAACATAAATATAATTGTAATATGTTTAGAAATGTCTGCACAAGGGGATTGTATTAGTATGAATAACTTGAAAACGACGAATCTTAGGGAAAAAATTCAAGTTACCTTTTTTACGTATTTTGTGTATTAGAATATAAATCCGTTACAATAACTTGTAAAAAATGCAGTAGCGTAGGTTTTTTTATAAAAAAGGAGATGACCCCTGCTAGTTGTACACCACTGGTTGTATCTTTAAAGCTCATATTTTAGGAAATGTAAGGCCTGCTGTCATAGATTATCTGTACCAAATTTTATTGAGATCGGGTAATATATTCCGGAGATATAAACAAAAAATCATTTTTTTTACAACTTCAACACCCTGTATCTCTAAAATAGGGCTGTTTCAGATCAATGTTTATAAGGCAAACACATATCATTTTAAAGAGATCTATCTGCCCTCGAAGTTTCCTGCATAAAATTCGGACCACCCTGTATTTCATGAAAGAATGACATCAAAATTAATATTTAAAAAAAAATAATCGTTTAACGCTATAAATTGATATAATAAAATAATAATTTATTTGTTAATATATTCTCTTTTTTAGATAGAACATGTTTTTTTTTTAATTTGTGAACCAACTGCTCCTTTCCAAAGTTTGCATAGTTTTTTTTGGAACGTATATGTATATGTTTCAATATATTTAGGACTCCTATGAGCATATTAGATGTCCTGATGAATATGTTAGGTGTCAGATTTTGGCAACAAAAATAGCTAATATGGTTCCTCTTTCAAGGTATAAAATTAATCGGAAATAAAAATCTCTACAGCTTTGTATTCCTCTCTATTTTATAATAACTCTTTTCTGGCAAATAAAATTAAATGAATAAAGTAAAACGGAAACATAATATTGGGTCTGACTCAATATTCCCGTTTGTTTGATCTAAATGCCTTTATCACATTCAGTTGAGGAAATCCGTATTAAAAAATTCGAAACAAGCAATCTGTTTGCTAACCGTCGAATTCTGATGTTTAATGATTTTTTTGTTTGTATTCAACCCAATTTTAAATTACATACTTCACCCCTTATTGTGTTTTCGTAGCACTCGAATGTAAATCGTGAAAATTAAGTTGGTTGAAAAATGATTCTTCAGTATTCGCACACCTTTCAGCTTTTTCGTTTATCTACTATTTGAAAGGGATAAAAGAATTTTGTTTCAACCACTAGTATTTTATTGGAAATGTTGCTTAAGTTTTAAAACAATAATGACAAAAACTTCTATATTGTTTTTTCAACAATAGTTTGCATTGAGCTACAGGTCTTAAAAGGTTCATGTCCGCTTAACATTCAGTTCATAAAACTCTTTTATTTCAGAATATTTTTGGA